CCCCAAAACCCCAAAACCCCTTGATGCGAATATTTATATTTTGTTGAATTATGAAATTAAGATTAAAAAATAATTCAATTAGTTGATTAGTAGATTATTTTATTAGGTCTACATTGCAGAGCTGATTTTTACAAGTATTAAGATCTTTTAAATTATAACGAAGAAAAGTTTTTCAAAGCTAGACTTTTGAGAAAACCATTTTATCCTCTTGATTTCTACGAAGTTTGCTATAACTTGTTTTACTCTAGGTAGATCTTATAATGCCAGTTTTCTTAGCCATTTAATAGTTAAGGTTAGATTTCATTCCCCACCTTACTAAACTTTTTGGGCTCATATTCCTAAAGTTATTTCCTATGTTTAACTCTCTTGCACTTTATGAACCATTAATCTATAGACGTTTAGACTGCTAAGACAATATCCTCTATCTGGTGTCAATGACTATACCTTTTTGGGCAGTCTTGAATAAGAAATCCTATCTTAGTGTCTATGAGTCTCTAAGTAATTTGTTATAATTATATGGTATCGTCGATACTATACTCTAAGCCATATCTAATTTCTTTTAATAAGCATCCTTTTCAAATTCAGTTTCCTCTTATACTCTATCTAGTCTTTCTTAAAACTATCTCTAAGTCAGGTAGCTCATCGACTTCAACTTTACATTATCTCTTAGACGTTTAAATATCTTTGAGTTGAAATTAGAAGAATTTTCGAGGGTTTAATTCATATCATTTAAAGGTGATAGATATTGACTAGATAGATGCTTATCGAGAAATTTGCTGCAAAAAGTATGTTAGTATTCACTGAAATCATTCATTGTCTTTGATGCTTCAATTTATTGTATTTGCATTCTGTTATAGCTCTCTTAAGGATTCAAGATTATTCTTTTTATATTTCTTACAGGCTTAATTAGTTCTTCAAATTCCAATTCTTACTGTATTTATGCTTAATTTGAAATTCTTTTATGTGAAACTGATCCAACTTTTACTCTTTTATTTTGATTTTAGGAAATATTTGAAAGTCCTCTACTTGCCAGTTTCCTCATCTCCATATTTGAAGTTCTAGCCATCTCCATATTTTTCATTATATTATTAAGATACTGCTAAGTTTCATCGTTGAGTCCATAGCTATTTAAGTCTTGCATGCTAGGATTTGATTTCAATGCAATATTTGCAGGAAAAAATGAATTAGATTTTGAATTTTTGACTGAATCATAATGAGTTTGAGGTTAGATATCTGACTAAACCTTTAAAAGCTCCATTTCAGTTGGTTTTTTAGTTTAATGCTAGTACTATTAAATTGCATTAATATCTATATTTTTCAAGTTTTCTCTATTTTATATGTTAACTTAGGAGGCAAATCCAATTCCATAGTTTTATTAAATACTTCTACTTGTGTCAGAAGATACAGAGATCGGTTGGCTATTTTCTCTTTTGGGTAGCTTATAGTCATTAGATTACTGATCAAAATTATTGTTGCTATTTTGACTAGCAGAGAAATTACTAATGACATTACTAGTTTTTATTTATCCCATCATAAGTTATCTCATAAAATCAGATTATGCTTAAGAAACTGCTTAAATAGGTTAGTCTTTTATATCAGTATTTCCTTAAGGTTAAATCTATATTGCAGCTTTTATTTGGCCTAGAGCTAAACTTATGCTATTAACTTATGGCTGACCGGCTCCTACATTCTACGAAGGATTTTATTATTAATCATTATTTCCTCCTAGAATTCCTCCTAATCCTCCTGGTGGATTAACTACTAAACCTTTTTTCCTTAAAAAGCTAAGCAGACCAGAACCCATTTAGGCTTAAAATTAAACTTTACCTGTATTATCAATTGATGGTCTTCTCTCTAAAGAATTATTGTTTGTATTTAGATTCAATAGCTCTTTTTCTTTTGTTTGAAAATTATACTTATAATATTCTCCTTTTTCATAAATGGTCATCCACGAATTTTCTTGCATGTACTTTTCTAGTTCCTCTGGGCCTTTAACTTATTGAGAAATATTCTCTACTCTAATGCTTCTTTATTCCTAAACCAATTGTTAGAAATAATAGTTTTTAATTTTTTCGATAGGGTTCTCACTTGGTTTTTAGCCTTGGAAATCTAATGAATTAGGATTAGGGTGAACTAAGAACTCTTAAGCAATCCAAAGGAGATCAGTTTCTCTAGTTGCTAATACTTTTATTCCAATTTTTTAAGCTGTAAACAATATAGAGTCTATATTGAGAGATTACGAGAATTTAGTACAAAGTTTGAGTTATTCCTTAGTTTGTGACGGAATTCCTACGGTCTCTTTATAGTAGTTTAGAATAAATTTGCTGTAATCATCTAACTCCTCCTCAACTATGTCTTACTGGATGTCATCTTTAAAGACTTTAATGTTATTCATGAATCTCTCAAATTCATCATCCTCAACTAGAGTTTCCAAAATTTCTTATGATTTATCTTTTATGCTTTTCGTTGATTAAGACCTTATGAACGCATTATGATCGCTATTTGATATTCTTTTAAGTTCTCGAATTTAATTGATATGGTGTTAGGTTGAAAGTCTCCTTCTGGTAGGGCTATCGATACTTCTTTTGGGGTTACTCAACGAAGGACTCTTCATACCTTCAATCTTGCTTTCATTTCTAGAACCCATTTCTTACTCCTCATCGACTTTCTCTAATTTACTGGTAAGATAGTTTCTTCTAGATTTTTGTGATTCTAAATTTGGTAGGTTTCTTTCTGAAAATGAGTCGAAATTCCCTGATAAGTCATTAGAATATTATGAGAGACTTTTTTGCTTGTTAATATCTTTAAATGAAGCCTGTCTGTTCTGCTAACCCAATTTAATTAAATTGATATTGAAGCTATTATCTCCCTTTGAATCAATTTAGCTACTTTATCTTGACATTGTTCTTTGATCACTTAGCAGTGGTGTCTGTTCTCTTGAATTTTGATTTGAAATTCTCAAAGGAGATTAGTTTGGTATTATTCCTTTAGCTTCACTTGATTTATCACTCTGTTCCAGTCTCATCGATGATTATCTCTTTAATGATCCTTCTTTAATAGTCCTTAATTCAGGGCTTTCCTTTGATTCATAGAGAATTGAATTTTTAGACATTCTAGATTTACCATAACCTGAACTGCCAGTTTTCCTCCTTTGATTTATTTGCCTCTCTATTCTTTTTATCTCTTCAAAGTCATCATAAAACTAATTTTCTTTTAAAGTTAGCTTTTTATTTGAAAATTTATTAGTTATTGACTGTTCTTTTTTCATTTATGAGTCCATTTCATTCTCAAATCCTTGTATATGTTCCAAAAACTCTGAGTCATGAGATATTTCGTATAAAGAATCAACTTCTGAGATCTTAGGAACTATTGACACTGAAGATTCATCCCTAAATGAGTCGTCGGAACTGCTTACATTTTCTTGAACCCTCACGATCTCACTTAGAAAATCAAAGTCATCATGCTTGCTATTTATTGATAATGGAGAGCTTAATTCCTCATTAGCAACTCTTAGATGCATCATTTTTAACTTAATAATCTTCTTTTTAAGTTCATCCTAAGTTTTACTGATGTTTTACTAGTTAATTTTCCTCCTTACTCTTTTAATGAATGCACTTGATTCTGTAAGTTCCTTAAGTTTATTTTATATCATTTGATTCTCAAGCCTTTTTCTTCTTTACTCAATCGTTTCATCAATGAGATTTGAATTAACTAAATCTTTTTCTATATTTCCGAGTATCGAGTCTTTATCCTCCATATCAATTGGAATAGAATCATGAATATGAAGATCCTCAGGCACTGGTTCATCATCTTGATCATCCTACTTTTTTTCATCCTCTTAACCGTTGGTTGGCCCTTTAAATGTAAAACTATCATCAGCTGGCTCGTCCATATCACCATCCTAAAACTCATTATTGTTATTATCAGATTCTGAATCATCTTCATTTTCGTCTTCTGATATTGTCATTTTCTATATATTATCTTATGTAACAGATCCCTCTTCATCTAAGTCTTCATCTATCTCTGATACATCAAGCCCTAATTACTTTTTCAATTACTCCTTTAGCATCTCTTACTTTTTCTTCTGATTACTCTCAAAAAATTCAATTTCTAATAATTCTATTCCTTACAGTTTCTCTCTTTCTTACTCATCTTACATAGCATTACTCAAAAGTACTCTCAACTTTTTCCTTATTCTAATATCGCTTACTCCAATAACAGCTTTAGTTTTCTTTATTTTCTATAGCAATTCTTCCTCCTATAATTTTCTTACTGCTGATTCAGACATTATTGGAATATTATTTTGCTAGATTTTTCCACCAAAAGCTTTTCCGATTCTATTGATAACTGTAATTTTCTTAATCATTCTATCAAGAGTTTACTTTCTTATAAGGGATTTTTCTCTAATTAGCTGTAAATCTTCTTCAATTTTTAATTTAATCTGCTCTTTTTGCTCGAAAAACTAATCGCTCATTTCATAAGGCCAAGAAAACATCCATTACAAGAGCTATTCCTTAGTAATATCATCTTCAATATTAAGATCTCTCATAACTTTATCTAAAAAGTCTTATTCGTCAAATTCCCTTTCTTCTTACTGCTTATCTTCATCTTCAGAATATTCAGCAGCTGGCTAATCTTCAAGATTTGACTTAATTAGTCTATCAATATAGCAAGTTGAATATTATTTTAATCGAAGATAATTTTCGACTTTCTTTAGGACTTTAATCTATGACTTGGTAGAAACATACTATTCTACTGCTGCATTAGTAACTTTAATTTCTTCAATCAATCTTCTAAGTTCTCTCAAAAAGGGATAAACAGTAGACATTTCTTTGGTACTCTTTTCAATCCAGTAATATGATCCCTCAATAGCTTATCTAAAAATCCAAACCTTAGGTATATCAGAGTTGGTTGATTTTGAATCATTTGTTTTCTTAGATTCGTAGTTCTTTAAATTCTCATCTTATTCTTGATACTTTTGAGCTAGAAACTCATACAAAGTTTTATAGAGATATGTATCTCTTGATGCTGATAGTTTACACTGCTCTGCTAGTGCCCTAATTTCATAGTCTGTTAACTACTTTTCATGAATAAATTATGAGACCTATGTTTGAAAAATCTCAGAAAGCAATATAAGTTCTCTGTCAGCCTGTGACTATTCATATTCAAACACATCTTCAAGAGCTTTTGTTTCTAAATTTAAACTTTCATAAGCAAATTCATATAAATCTTTTCCAGAGCATTTATAGATTCTATTCAAGTTATCCATAAATTTTATATCTATATTCTAAAGTGCAACTGTATTAGCTTTAATTGAAGAAAGCTTTCTTTACTTTTCCTTTCCATTTCGATTCCCTTATTTTGGATTTAAAAATTAACTTATTCCAGCATCAATCTTGTCTAGTCTTGCCTTATTAATTAATTTGATTATAAAAAGTGAGCTCGGATGAAAGTTGATCTTCGTATTACTCTCCAAATCCTTATAATAAATTTGCTAATTCATATCATCTAATGAATTCTAATCTGCTTGAAATTCAGTTTAGAACTTCTTCCAAAAGGGAGGTAAAGGTAGACATTATATCATTCTTGGAATCCAGAGCAAATCTATTTCAGTCTTTAAATCTATCTTGTATTATATTCCAAGTTTAATAAGCTCTTCAGGAGTAATTTGCAAGTATGTTGGATTGTTCTTCAAGTAATAAGGGGGTTTCTTGATATCTATTCCTACAATTTTTTCGTAGAATGTCAAAGCTTTTGATAGACTTTGAATTTCTGCAATTTTTTGGTATTATTAATCAGATTTACTCTGTAGCGTAACAAGCATAGTCTTCAGGTCCTTAATATCCTACTCTCCATAAACCTTTACCTGAATGATTTAATTATCGGCTAATTTAACCACACTCTACTTAAGTCTTGTCATAAAAGTAGCACGCTTTGATCTTGTAGAGACTGTTTTGTTTATTTCAAGGTCTTCCCTTACCAGATGAAAAGTATATTTCTTATTTTAAACAATCTTATTGAAAAGTTTCCTGTAGTGCTTAATATAGGGATGCTTGAATGTTGTAACATTTAACTATTCATTGTGATAATAGGCCTCTCCCATCATTGAGGTCTCCTTAACCCAGCCCTGAGGCAATTCCTGCACTAATATTCTTTTAAGAAACCAGAAATATTGCTGATCATCATTTTCTAAGTCATAGCCGATTTCATTTACTATGTTTAATACTTCCTAAACGATAATTAAGGTTAATTCTATTAAAGACTTACTGGCATTGGTATAGAGATATTTTTCTACCTTGGCTTTGCAGTATTATTCTTAGCTTAGGCCTTGGCTTTAAATCTCATAACTTCATACGGTTTATTTTTCAACGGGACTCTTGTATGCTTTATGATCGTAGAATTAAGCAGTTCTTGGGAAGGCTTTTGCAAAGGTTTCTTCAATTTAGATGAGTTCTTAGAAACATCTGCAGAATTTATTTGCTGTATTTAAGTTGATGATTAATGAGCAAGTGGATTCAGTTGTGAATTTACTCTCTCCGTCATTCCTTTGTTTAGTTTTTTTTATATTTAGGTTAATAGAAGTAAATCAAAGCTTTAATAAATTTAGCTTAATTTGAATTATTTGAAGTATGAATTTAATAATTAAAAGCTTACTGGGAAAATGATAGTGTTTTTATTGCTCATCAGCAGACATGGAAAGACCCGTATGAATAAGTACTACAAACATTTCACGCACAAAGAGCGTATCGCAATCTAGAAAGAGGTACTATAATTGATGATTCTGACCAAATTAATAGATAAGCAGCATGGTTATTGGCAGATCTAGCAGGTTGACTCACTTTTTAGAATGGAGAGACTATAAGATTGTATTTAAAAGGTATGGTATAAAAATCACAAATATGATTTGAGTTGATCAGTTTCTAATCATTAAATTTAGATATGCTAGTTTGTATTTCGTGGCAGGTATCGAGAAAGAAGACAATGAGCTTATTGTTCTAGATGTGATCCATCATTTTGTGGAGATTCTGGACAAGTATTTTGGAAATGTGTGCGAACTTGACTTGATATTTAACTTCCATTAAGCCTATTTTATCCTTGAGGAGATTATCATTGGAGGCTTCATAATGGAATCAAATAAAAAGCAGGTGCTAAAAATGGTCTAGCATAACGATGCTATCATGGATGAAGCATTTTTCAAGGATGAAGGACAAAGCAAAAGTGCAGATGAAAGCAATAAAAAGAAATGAGTATGATCGGATATATGTGATTATATTAGGTGTAAATGAATTGATACATTCATCAAACTGAGCCATAAATTTTAAACTGCGATTTGTGAGTATTTGTGTATGAGTATCAAGATAAGTTAATTCATACAATTTTAATATCGATTTTTATATCATTCCATTCATTAATGCTTTTCAAATTATTCAAAATGTTAATCTCTTGGGGTTTTGGGGTTTTGGGGTTTTGGGG